CGGCTTTGACGCTGGATCTGGTGTTGACGATGGTGTCTTCGGCGGCGATGGGTCATGCAGGGGGTCTTACGCTCCCTTGCACCAGCTTCCAGGTGCTTCAGATGCCCAAGATCACTCACACGAGCCACAAGCAGCTGCTGGGATCAAGGAAGAGACCATCTCGTAAGCACAGCTTGAGGATGATGGAGGGAAGCGCAGAGGATGCCCACATGAGGAGTGGAGTGCGCCCGTGTGTCCGTGTGTTGGTGCAGGTGCGGCTCTCGCGATGGCCGGGACGGACAGGGCGATTGGCCTCTTGCATGGCCACCCGGTGTACTTCGACAGTGCGGACGGCTATCAGGTTGATGTGGACGGCAGGCGCCGGCCGGTTCCGAGCTGGCTGCACATCCGCAGAGTCGGCGACGTGCAGGTCGAAGGGGCTGCTGGTCTGCCGCAAATCAGGTACTAGAGGCATTGACCCTTTCCAGGGATGCTTCACCCGCTGTGCATCTGTTGTCTGTCTGTGGTCATTCTGGCTGCATGCGTCAGTGCGAGCACCCAGGTGGTTTATCCAGCGAGCGATGAAGCTGTGGGTCTCTTCCAGGGCCGCCCCGCCCACGTCGATGAGAAGGGAGGCTTCCTTGTCAGTGTCGATGGCGAGTGGCGGCCCGTTAGGAAAGACGACTGGCCAGACGTCATCAGATTCACCGATGTGGACGTCACCACGCTCGAAGAACGGTGCGCACGCAGAGATGAGGCAACAACACGCTTTTTCTGCCGTTTCACTGCCTTAGTCGCTACTTGTGTTGGTCGCATCAGGCTGGACTGTACGATTGGGAGACTCCAAGACGACAGAACATTCATTCGGCTTGGGCGGTTCCTCTATCAGGTGGTGAGACGCGGCACAGGTGTCTGCCCGGCCACGGGCGACACTGTAAGGTACAGAAGGACGCTTTTTGACTACGGATTTCCACCCGACAGAGGCAGCAAGAAGCTGAGAGATTATGAAGCGACCCTCGAGTATGGCAAAGCGTCCCTGTACGGCTTCGAGCATGATATGCTGTGGTCCTTCGAGCACGATATGCTGTGGTCGATGAGGGTTGGCGAAGTCCGGCGCGTCATCAGACCAATGAGTGGCTCGAACAAGACTTATTGGGAGCTGGAGCTGATCGAAATAATAGAGCAGAAGTGAGCGAGGCATTGTGCTGTGCTGGGCTGGGCTGGGCTGTGCTGGGGGCTGGGCTTGGCTTACTACAGCTCGAGCTGCTCAAGATAGAGTAACTGCACTGACTCACTCAACCACTCACTCAGTCGACCATCCAACCACATGCATATCACCACTACCACTAACACCAACTGAGCTGCTCTTCCCTCACATGCCCATATGTCTGCCTATGTGCCTGCCTGCCTGTCTGGCTGATGTGACCCCAATTGCACGGATGCGTGTGTGACTGACTGACGAGAGGAGTGCTTTTTGATGGCATTTTAGCCCTGGTACTGGTCTGATTGGCTGTGTGTCAGACAGTGAGTTTTCGCCTGTCAGCATGAGACGAATTCGTGACGTGACTTTGCTGCTGCATATGGGGGGCAGAGAGAAGGGCAAGAGAGAGACCGCTTGCTTCTTTGACGAGAGGAGGGAGGGAGGGACAACCCAATCGACTGTGTGGGATTCCCTTCACCGTCTGTGTGTACTGGTGCATCTGTTACTTTGGTGTGTGTCAGTTTCCATCACAAAACAGATCGACTCGACCAACTGCAATCCACAAGTGATGAAGCGACGAATGCATCATTGTCACTTCTGGCGCCCTTCTCCTTCTACAATCTGCCTGCGAGCTTCGCACAATGCCAGGCACAACACTCCTGGCTCTGAAGGGCTAGTGGCAAGGAATCCAAGGCTGGATCAGACATGACGGCTTTGACGCTGGATCTGGTGTTGACGATGGTGTCTTCGGCGGCGATGGGTCATGCAGGGGGTCTTACGCTCCCTTGCACCGGCTTCCAGATGCTTCAGATGCCCAAGATCACTCACACGAGCCACAAGCAGCTGCTGGGATCAAGGAAGAGACCATCTCGTAAGCACAGCTTGAGGATGATGGAGGGAAGCGCAGAGGATGCCTACGTGAGGAGTGGAGTGCTGCGCCTGTGTGTCCGTGTGTTGGTGCAGGTGTGGCTCCCGCGATGGCCGGGACGGACAGGGCGATTGGCCTCTTGCATGGCCTTTCGGTGTACTTCGACAGAGTGGACGGCTACCAGGTTGATGTGGAGGATGGTCGACGGCGGCCTGTTTCGAGCTGGCAGCACATCCGCAGACTCGGCGACGTGCAGGCCAAAGGGGCCGCTGGTCTGCCGCAAGTCAGGTACTGAAGAGGTGCACGGACACATGGATTGGTTGATTTTTTGTCCCCCAACGCGTCGCAGTGTCGTGTGTGTCCGTCTTTTGTGGGTGCATGCGTCAGTGCGGGCACCAAGATCATCTATCCAGCAAGCGATGAAGCTGTGGGTCTCTTCCAGGGCCGCCCCGCCCACGTCGATGAGAAGGGAGGCTTCATTGTCAATGTCGATGGCGAGTGGCGGCCCGTCAGGAAAGACGATTGGCCAGACGTCCATCAGGTTCACCGACTTGGACATGACCAACATACGCGGAGAGCTGTAAGTACACAGACATGAGGCAACAACTCTTCTTTTTTTTTTCTCCATCTATACTCGTTCCTTGCATGTGTCGTTGGTCGCATCAGGCCGGGCAGTGCGAAAGCCATATTCCAAGGCGACAGCACATTCATTCGGCGTGGGCGGTTTCTCTACCAGGTGGTGAGACGCGGCACAGGTGTCTGCCCGACCACTGGCGACACTGTCAAGTACAAAATGGCGGAATTTGTTGACGGATTCCGAGGCGACAGAGGCAGCAGATTGTACGTCAAATTCGAATCGAGCTTCGAGGATGGCGACCAGTCCTCGGGAGGCTTCGAGCGTGACATGCTGTGGTCGATGAGGGTTGGCGAAGTGCGGCACGTCATCGATTCAATGAGTAGTGGCTCGGACACGACTTATTTCGAGCTGGAGCTGATCGAAATAATGGAGCAAGGTTTAGTAATATCACACTCTGACAGACTGAGCTGTTGTGCTGTGCTGTGCTGTGCTGCGAGTGAGTTTTGCTGATTGCTTTCTGCTCGCTTCCCTGGTCGCAGGATGGGCTGCGCGGGTGTCTAGGCAGTAGGTTCAGTTTCTTCATCAAATTGGTGTTGGACGGGTGTCATTCATTTTGCAAACACAAAGGTCGACGGTGAAGGAGTTGTGTGTGTGATGATGGGGCGGGTACACATATCGATTCAACTCACGTGTGCCGGTGTGTGGACGTCTCTTATGTCATCTGTCTGTCCGCCAGTCCGTCAGTCGGTCGGCAAAGAGACGAACGAGTGCGCACAAGCGAAAAAGAGAGCCATCCGTTCTTCCATCCATCCATGAGAGCGCACACACCCATCACACACAACCTAAACCAACCAAGAAGGATACACACAGCCAATCCACACACACACACACACACACACACATGCGCCCCGCCCCATTCACTCACCCTCATCAGTCAGTGGCGTCTTGGTGTTGGTGCAACACATGCAGTGCCAAGTGCAGGTCGCGCATCTGGACCTCAGCTGCCATCTGCTGCCCTTACCCACACCATTGGCCAGGCCGGGCAAGGCGAGCACATGGCACAGGAGCTAGACACGCAAACCCACACAGCACAGCGCAGCACGCGTCAGCAGGGCTGAGGTTAGATAAGATGGTAGTGAGTGCCTCTCGCTCTAAACCAGCCGCAAGAGCCACTGCACGCCACTCACAGCCAGCCAGAGGGATACACACACACAACACAGCACACCACAGCATACCACATCACACAGCATATCGCACAGGGACATCGCAGGTTGACCAAAACACACCGAAAAACACGACAGCCAGCCAGACAAACAGACAGCCAGACAGACAGGCAGACAGACGACACGAATGAACCGACAGGAGCAAACGAAACGGACTCGCACGCCACTCCCCACAGCATAAACGAACGAACACCGGTTCTCTCTTTCTCTGTGTCTGTTCCTCTCTCTCTCCGTCTCTCTCTCGCTCTCTGTCTCAGTGGTGTGCCCCCAGCACCTCCGCTCGCTCTTGCACCCGCACTCTGTTTGTCAGGACACAAGAGAGAAAGGGAGGCAGGGAGGCAATCAGATGGGCAGGCAATTGGGTAGACAGGCGGGCAAAAAAGGTGGCGTGACGTACACACACAGAGATGTGGATATGTATCGGTGAGGCTGGTCTGCTCATCCATCCATCCATCCGCTCGCTCACCTCCTGTGCTGCCTTGTGCTGCCTTGCCTTGTGTGACGTTGACGTGCGTGTCTGTCAGTGAGTGAGTGAGTGACCAAACAAGTAGGTGCCAGTGGAGTCAGTGAGTCAGTAGCAGATAGAGTAGGAGGTGAAAACCTATCCACACATACTCACACACATACACACACACATGAACCCCACTACACGACACGACATAGACCACACCACACGCCCTGACTGACTGACCACACACCGCCCGCCCCTTGGCTCTCTCAGCTCACTTACATCCTTGCACATGTATACCTATATATCGGCCGATACTTGTGCGGACAGACAGGCGGGCAGGCAGGCAGGCAGCTGAGGGAGAGAGGGAGCAGACGAGACGGCCGTGTGAGGGTGGTGTGGTGTGGGTGTGAAGCGTCGGCGTCGTGCTGACAGACAGACGGACAGACGGAGAAGAGTATGGTATGGTATATATGTACACAGACAGGCAGGTAGGCAGGCAGGCAGGCAGGCGCAGCATCAGTCGACTGACCCACCCACCCACCCAACCACACACACACGCACACACACACTCAGCAGCCACTCAGACAGACAGACAGACAGTAGTTACAAATAGAGAGAACCAATCACTCACTCACTAAGTTAGTTAGTGGCACACACGCACACACGCTCACTTGACAAACCAATCCAGCGCTTCGCTTTCTCTATCCCTCCCTCTCCCTCTCTCTCCCACTCCCAGATGTCGCTCCCAGATGTCGCTCGCTCGCATCCCGTTCCCCTTCCCCACCCTCTCACCACACGCGCATCGCCGACCGACCCAAGCCACCACCCGCCCCCTCTCTGTCTGCAAGCACTCATAGTTTTTCACACCACCCTCCTGATTGCCGCACCCATACAGACAGGAGACGAAAAACGAGGCGTACACACGGGGGCGGGGTGGTTGTTGTTGTGTGTCTGTAGACAGCCATGCCGAATCTCGTCTTGCCACACCGCCTCACTCACCTCACCTCATCTCACCGCTACCCCCTAAAATTCTCAAAATTGTCGGTCGACAGCCGTCCGTGCAGAGATACAGACATATGGACACATCACATCCACGTGTGTGAGTGAGGGTAGGTGGACGGAGAGGGTGGGGTGGGGTGGGAGGCGATATATACGTGTGTGTGTGAGAGAGAGAGAGAGTGAGAGAGGGAGTGGAGAGGGGGAGAGAGAGCGAGGGAGAGAGCAACCACCCCGTCATCCAGCCGTCCGATCGATCAGCCGTAGCGAGCGTCCTCTTGCCAGGAAGCGTCACACCAACACACACAGACACACACAGAGAGAGAGGGAGCACAGCACTCGTCCGCACACGCACACCAACAGGTAGGTATACATATACACACATCCGCAACCACACCCCATGAACAAACAAGAACAAGTATACAGAGGGCAGACAGACAGACAGACAGACACCCACCCCCCCTCCAGCTCCCATCCCTATCTCCCCGCCATCTATGTGTAAGTATACACCGCCCGTTCAGTACTTCATTCGGTAGACCATTCTTCCATCCATCCATCCATCGGTGTGCCGCTTTTCTCATTCGCCCTCCATCCTTTGTCAATACAGACAGACTGACAGACAGAGAGGGGGGGAGGGAGAAAAAAGCACGGCCATCCATCCATCCACCCACCCACCAGACAAAGAAGAGAAAAAGAGGGACAGATCTGCCCTCACTCCCTCCCACTCCCTCCTCCCCCTCCCTGCTTGCGTCTCTTCCTCGTGGTGGTCGTGGTGGTTGTGGTGGTCGTGGTCGTTGTGTTTGTGGTGCTGCTGCCATGGTTGATGCCTCTGAGTGGCACGCACGGCGGCGCTGACGGCTCGACTGACGCGCAGGGCCACACGAACGACCACAGCAGTGTGAGCAACATCTGCACGTACGCCAGCAGACGGGCCCACACGCCCACACCCACACCCACACCCACGGCGGCATCGATGTCCGCCACCGCCACCGTCTCCTGCTGCTGCTGCTGTTTCTGTTTGTCGCTCTCCGTCGCTTCGTCGCCACTGACGCGCTCACTGCTCGGCACTGCGGCACAACCACTCACTGCAGCAGCAGCAGCTGACGCCTTTTGCTTCTTCTTGTTGCGCGCTCGCCGTTTCTTGGCCCGTTTGCTGTCCTCCTGCTGCTGCAGCAGCTGCTGCTGCTGCTGCTTCTGGTGGTGCCTTGGGTGGTGCGGGGCCTCCTTGCTGCTGTCCTTGCTGCTGGTGGTGTTGTCCTGGTGGTGCTGGATGTGGCTGTGTGTGTGGATGTGGGCGTGGCTGTCGAGCATCAGGGATGGAGGGCGGATGGAGGGCGTGGGCGTGAGGGTGGAGTGGGTGAAGGGTGACTCGCCGCTCTCCATCTTGGGGTTCACCTCCTGCAGATCAAGATCAGATCGACACACAGTGGTGAGGTGTCTTGTGGTGGGTGCTGGCTGTGTGTGTGTGTCGACCAACGAGCGAGCGTACCTTGTTGATTTTGATGACCGGTGACTCGTCGCCAGCCTCCCAGGACTCGCCGGCGCCGGCGTCATCAAGTGCCCGCTGCAGAGACCCCAACAGCAGGGACGACAGCAGACGGGGAGAAGACGGAGGGGACGAATCGGCCTGGATGCATCACACAGACAGACAGACAGACAGAGAGGGAAGGAGATGGAGTGCGTGTGTGTGTGTGTAAGGGAGAGAGGGGGTGGGAGGGTGGATGCGGTGCTTACGTCTTCCTCCCTCCTGGGGTCTTTGATGACGACCTCATTGTCGCTCTCCACCTCACACACATCCTTATCCTTGCCAACACCCTCCTGCACACACACAGAACACACAGAGGCCATTCATTCAGTCAGTCGGGGTGCACACAGGCATCCTTGTGTGTCAGTGCGTGTGTGTGTGAAGATACCTACCTGAGCCATCATGGCGGACGACGCCTGCTCCAGCCCCCAGCCGAAGGAGGGCGAGGGCGGCGTCGGCTGAGACGAAGATGACAGGGGCAAAGCGGCCAGGCGGGACTGAACACAAAACCACACGCAAGATGGCCAGATGGGTGGTGAGTGTGTATCTGCTGGTGGTGGTGGTGCATACCAGTTCTAGCTCCTCCTGCTCCCGCTTGGCCTCCTCCATCTGCGTCAGCCTCTCAATCTCAGCGCAACGAAGAGACTCACGCTGACACACACACGCACACACACATACACAAGCATCCACAGGCATCCACATGCAGCTTTGGTGGAGGTTTGTCTTACGCGCAGGTCTGCGAGGTGTTCGCTGAGCTCCCACTCGTTCAGAGAAGAGCTTGGAGCCTCCTGCACATGAATCTGTCAGACAGGGAGAACCGAACCAACGACACCAACACAACACAGACATATAGTGAGCATCAAATCGATGGCTATCTGCTGCATACACACATGCATGGGGCTGTCTGTCTCTTCTCGGTCTCGCACTTACCCGGACGTTGCCCTGGTAGCCCTTGGTGAACACCCTCCCTCGATGGGAGTGCTGCCCGCGGTGCTGCTGCTGCTGCTGCTGGTGGTAGTAGTGGTGCGGATTCGCCCAGCCGTGATAGTACCTGCCGCACATGCACACACACACACACACAGACAGGCATGCACATTGGACGACACACGTCCTGCCTCCCTCCCTCCCTCCCTCCCTTGAGTCAGTCGACTTACCCTCCTCCCCGGCCTCTCCCACGGAAGCCTCTCCCCCTCCCCTGCCGCCCATAGCCTCCGTAGCCGCCGCCATATGGGTGCTGATACTGGTGCTGATACCCACAGCCATACCCATACCCATACCCACTGCCGCCATGACCACCGCCATACCCATACCCACTGCTGCCTTGCCCTTGCCGCACGGCAGCCGGCGGCGGGGTGATCACACGCACCTTGTCCACCACCCCCTGAGGAGGATGCTGCGGCTCGTAGTGATGCTCGTAAGGCTGCTGCTCGTGATGCTGCTGCTGACGCTGCTGATGCTCGTCCTGCGTGTGGTCGCCGCCCTGTTGCTGCAGTTGCTGCAGCTGCTGGTGTGGCTGCGGTTGCGCATATCGGTGGTCGTCTGGCAGGGGGGGTGGCGGCCACTGGAAGGTGTCACACGAGTCGCCAGCTCCAGCGACTCCAGCGACACACGGATCTTGCCCCTCGAGCTGGTCGTATGCGTGTGGCTGGTGCTGGTTGTCGGAGGGGAACCACTGAGGGAGCGGAGCGTTGTAGTAGCCAAAGGGGTCCTCCATCGCCCGTCCTCTCTGTCAATCCAATCAACGCCTCTCTGCCTCACATCATCACAGGTCTGCCTCTTGGCTTTGTCGCATTCGCTCTACCCCTCTGCGAGCTACTAGTGACTAAGCTCGCACTCTCTTTGTGGGCGATGGGGGGCATGCGTCTCACGTCTGAGGCTTAGCTCAGCTCTCTAAGTCGACAGCAGTGCTCTGGGGCCTTTGCAGCGCCTAGAAAGCTCCCCTGAAACGAACTTGGAGGCCTCCCTCCCTCTGTGACAGAGAGGGGGAGGGCGTAAAGGCGTCAGCAGTCAGCAGCAGCAGCGTCACGGCCGCCGCGGCCCGGCATCTAGCAGCAGAGGAGACGAGCGGGAGCGTCATTGACCATGTCGTCGGCCATCAACCAGATCAAGTCGTCTATTCAGACGGCGGTGCGGAGTGAGGACGCCTTCAGCGGCGAGAAGGGCAACCTCGCCTCGAGGGTGCAGCTCCTCACGTCAGCTTGTTGCAAGCGAGAGGACAGGACTCACACACACGAGCCTGCCTGGCGATTCATTGACTGACTGCAATGTGTGTGTGTGTGTGTGTGTTGATCACTCAGGACTGAGGGCACTCGGAGTGCGGTTGAGTATGTGATATCGCTCATCAAGAACAAGGGCGAGCTCGTGTCCACCAAGATCATGGCCATTCGGGTGGGTGGGGGACGCGCAGCGCAGCGCAGCGCAGGCGTCAGTCTGTCTGCCGAATGATGTGTGTGAAGGTCTGAGGTGGTGTGTGTAACTTCTTCTGTGTGTGTGTGTGTGTGTGTGTGTGTGTCAGGTGTTGGATCACCTCATGGGGGCGCGCGACAAGCTGGCGACGGCCGTGGCGGAAAAGTGCGGGCGAGATGAATGGATGGATGGATGGATCCGCGCGGCCGATCTCTGTGTGTATCTTGTGTGTGTGTGTGTGTCTGTGTGTGTGTGTGTAGGCTGCGTTTCTTCTCTGACATCTTGCGCAAGAGCAAGGAGAAGACGCCCTCCAAGAGAAGACCCGAGTTCTTCCCCACCACCACTAGGTCAGTCAGGTCGAGGTCGTCCAGAGAGAGCCAGCCATCTATCTATGTGTGTCTGTGTGTGTCTGTGTGTGTGGACTGGCTGACACATTCACTTCCCGATTGCACCACCCACTCACTCACTCTGTAATTGGTGTTGGTGTGTGCAGCATGGTGGACGTCGAGGACTTTGTCGGCTGTGTGGCCGAGTTCATCGGTATGCAGGTGTTCATCTGTGTGTGTGTGCCTGTGTGTGTGAGACTGCCCTTTGTGTGTATGTGTGTGTGTGTGTGTGTGTTTCCATTCTTTAGAGAAGTGGGCCCGTCAGTACGCCGCGCGGCCCGACAAGCTGCGCGAGTTCACCACCACGCGAGACAAACTCAAAAAAGAAGGTTTGGCGCTCGACCCACACACACAACAGATGCCCTCACTGACCTGAGGTATGTATGTGTGTTTGTGTGTGTGTGTGTGTGTGTGCAGGTGTCAGCTTCCCGCAGTCACAGGACTTCCACCACCTGGTAAACAGCAGCACCAGCACCGACACACGCACACACGCACAGCCTTGACGACGTGCGTCGAATGACTGAATGAATGCAGTCGTCCCGCCCCGGCGGCTCGTCGCCGTCTAACGCACCACCCCCACCGCCACCCCCACCAATGGGTACCCACCCCCCACCCCCCCAAAGCACCGCACACATATCACTGGTGTGGCTTTGCTGTGCAGACGACGACCACTCCCGTGATCGTGATCGTCGCGACAGTGGTGGTGGTGGGGACGCCTCGCGCCGGTCGTCCGACCGGCGTATGTCGCGGACCGATTTGGACATCGCACTGACCATGGCTGTGGACCTCAAGGAGGCCATACAGGACGGTAGGCGCACGTGCAGATGGACACCATGGAGGGATGGATGGATGGAGCCAGGGCAGGGAGGTGGAAGCATGGGTGTGTGTGTGTGTGGATGTGTGTGGGCGCATCGCATGGCAGATCGCCACAGCGACCGGACGCGCGACCTGCTGGAGAAGTGCCAGAAGTAAAGAGCCGCCACACAGACACACACACACACACACAGACACACAGAGAGAGAGAGAGAGAGCGATGTGTGTGTATGTGTCTGTGCATGTGTGTGGGTGTAGGGAGTTGTCATTTTGGGAGGGCCGCGCGAGCGACGCGGCAGACAACGACCGCATGGACGAATTTGAGGTGAGTGAATTGAGCAACCAAACACCCCTTCAGACACGTCTATGTGCGCACGATCAATCAGGACATCGCTGACGTGACCCACAAGCTGGGCGAGGCCATCGCCGCCTATGACAAGGAGCCTGCTCCATCGGTGAGTGTGTGGCTGGGGGGG